TCACACCTGTAAAGCATTTTGCAAATTGGCTTTCTTTTTCTTCTGTTTTTCTGCAACACGAGATGATGACGCTTCACTTTCATGTTCATGTTCACACGAGCAGTTTGAACACTTTGAGCATTTCTTTGGACTCAAACCTGTTTCACCTAAAAAAATAATTAAACTATTGCGTTACCAATGACTATAATCTCCTTTTGAAACGCCGAAGTATTTTTGAACCCTTTCCAACAACAATGATGGCTTCTTATGCCATACCTTGTAAAAGTTTAATGAACTTTTCCAGATCCATGATCTGTTTTGTAATCTGTTTTATAACTTGCTCCTAAATTGATAGATAAATTAGTAACTCAGTCAAGAAAACCTGCTGTGTGTATCATGCTTTCAGTGTAGTAACTAAGATATGTATTCTTTACCTTTGGAATTTTATCGCTTATTTCATCCTACAAAAAATAAGACATCACAATTAATCATGGTGGATGGTTAATAATAATAAAACAATTATTGAATTTGGTTTTCGCATTGTACTTAGTCTTTGGCTTCGATTGATACAACCTCATGATTGAATAATTGTTATACAGTGTGTCTCAAAAAAGTGACGCTTTAGAAATCATCATTTTATTGTAAACAGCCAAACTTCATTACCTCTGGGAGTTTAGAATACATTGTAATCGTACAAGCATAATAAAACTGCATAAATTGTACATGAAAAATCTAATTGAAAGTTAAAACAATCCCATCAATTCGATTAAAAATGGTTCAATTACCGACTACAGAACAAAGAATTTTTACTGGTTTATGCGCTGCATTAAATTAATCAGCACATAATCATATTCATATGTTGAACGATACCAAAAGCTTTTAAATAACTTCCATTCATAAAATTTGATTCAATTGTGTTTATGCATGCACCCATGGTTCTGTATGGGACTCATGCATTGAAATTATAACTTTTTGAGACACCCTGTATATCAATGAACAGACATACTCTAATATTGTAATGTTGCTGTATCTCACCCTGTGTCTTCGTGAAGAACCTGCACCTTTTTCATGCGAACTATAAATGAGAAAAGCACAAGAAAATATAGAAATAGTTACTTCATGAGTACATGTGTTTCCTCAATATTTTTCCTCATATTTAAACACGATGTACCTGAGTTGAGATAAAAGTAATTTCTGTTTTTCTATCAATTTTTGAGGACTATCTGTAGTTTCACTTGCACCCTAAACAACAAATGATAAAGAATTGTTTTGTTGCAAACCATTTATCTCAGTCTAAAATCCTTCAGACTATGAACAAACATTTATTTCTAATCCTGGAATATCCATATATTTATAACAATCAAACATGAAACATTGATCCAAAAACATTGAGTTCACTGTTGGATAGCTCTATCAGTTCTAGATATCACTATCTAGATTTTTTAAGCCATGCTGGTCCTGTTATTCACCTTCACGACAGCAGCTTCCATTTCTTCCAACTGTTTTCTCAATTGCGTTATTAACTTTTCTTGTTTTTGTTTCTGATCTTGAAGCCTCTTCTCATATCCTTTGACAGTCTACAGTAAACAGTTTCACAGATGGCAATTATTCTCCGAAAATTCAAAATTTTCCAGGTACATCAATCGTAATATCATTGTGCTACTTACAGATTTCTTCCTTAGTTTTGTCACAGGTTTCGCTCCATCTACATCAGGGATTCCTTCAAATGCAAATTTCTCCAAACTTTGCAGTAAGTTCTACATAGAATTACAAAAATAAGTTGTGTAATATGTATAGTAAATGATCGAAAACATGCTGCTATACCTAATATATATCATCACTCCAATTATTATTGCCACCTACTTAAGCCAATACAAATTTAAGACCCAAGATGTAAAGTATTGTTTAACCCGAAACTATGAGTTAGAACAAGGATATATTTGCATATACACATATAATTGATGATTCCCCTTATTATGTTTTCATAGCACTTTGCATTGTGGTTATAGTAGTATCACTGATATTCAAGATGGCTTATTTTTTGTCCCGACCCATGCAAGAACTTTTAAAAAAGCTAGGGTTGACCAGGTGCATGATAGCCAACAGCAAAATATTCGCGAAAACATTCAATATTTTCATTTGAAGGCACTATATTTATCAGTGATACCACTATAACCATAATGCAAAGCGCTACGAAAACGTAATAAGGGGAATCATGTTTTGACTCCATCGTTACCTCTTGATCAGATTTTGGAGCTCCCACAACTTGTTTCAACCTAAACTGAACCTATATATGCAAATAAACAAGTAAAAAAGAAAATTCACCCATTGAGCACCAGAGTGCTTTCCCCTTGGCAAGTAAAATCGTCTGGCATTAGACAGAGTAAAATAATAAAGTAGCACATATTAGGGTGCAATGCAACTTAATAGGACAAAAAGTATATTCACCCTACTCTATTTATGAATATGTACTCAATGAATACATAGGCCTCATTCTCAATCACTGAATATTTATCATTACACAATGCTTATCAATCATTTCTCACCTGAGCAAAATGCGTTGTTAACGCCAACAAAGATGAATTCAATTGTTCATGTTCTTCTTCAAGTTTTTTCAACAGCTCAGATTCAGATCTGTGAAAATATTTTTTAATCCATTAATGCCCGACACGTTCTCAATGACGTTTACATATGTAAATCTCTCTGGGGTGAACCAGAGTTACAACAACACAGTGAGATGCACTGGAATTAGGCAGATTACAGGCCTGCAAATTGGTGCCGGTCATCGGACATTGACGGGCCAAATTTTACCTTTTGTCAGATCAAAGCTTTTTATGACTGGACAATGGACATGTGACCGACCAATTTAGGCTGGTCAAATCTCCAATCTCAAAAAATTGTTTATTTTAACACATTTTTTTATTAATGAAACCAACAAGAAAGCACTATAGACAGCACTTCTCCACTATTTCTTGCTGCATTAAGCAGTAAGATTTAATTATAAATCTACATCACCTTTGTATACATGGTATAAATTAAATTAGTTCTGTATAACCTGAACCATAATTTATTGATGTATTAGGACTGGTAGATATATACTAGGTTTTAGATGCATCGCAGTGCAAACTAATATGACAAGAAAAAAAATTTTCAAAACAAAATATGAAAAATTTTACTTTGTCCGCTGTCCGGAAAAAATGGATAAATGTCCGACCAATGTTAGGCTTGGCCAGACATTTGTCCTTCCAAGTAAAATAATCATTTGTAGGCAGGTCACTGTCAGTTATCATTTCAGTCATCAGATTTATTTGCTACTATAGTCTACAATGTTTACACTCTCAAAATTTATGTGATCACAGTAGGAATTTTTCATCGGATTGAGCAAACTGACTTAATGTTAAACATTCACGAAATGTTCTTCTTTTTACAATTCTTACAAATCCTTCAAAACTTAGAATTCACCGATCTGATCAGTAATGATCCGTCTGGACACATATGATTAAAGAAAAATTTGCTGCAGTGTACTGTAGACGGCAGACAAGACAGACAGTTCATTCGTTCATTCATTCATTCATTCAAAAACATTGCCATTCATTCATTCAAAAATATTGCCACAGATGATCTATATCTAGTATAGCAGACATTCCAACCACTGGAGGTAAAATTTAGGGAGACTGTTCAGTGAATTGAAATCTAGTTCTTCTGGGAAAAAATAATAAAAATTAAGTCTTCTGAAATGGCGTTTCCTGCATTTTGGGACTATGTTATTTTAAGTGATTCTATAAATTGCCATAAAGCAACTTCAAAAATGGTCAAGACAGACTATTACAGTATGTTGCTAAAAACAGTATATTTATAATTTTTTATGATATTTCCTGAATATTCTGAAAAATCGGGAGAATTTGATAAAAATCGGGAGACCGGGAGATTGCATGAATTTTCGGGAGACTCCCGGTAAAATCGGGAGAGTTGGAATGTCTGAGTATAGATTGAACAAATCTACGATTATCAAATACAACACATTTAAATTTTAACTACTTTCAAGCCAACAACAATCTCATTGCATTAATTAAGGACTCAAAATTAATAAAAAAATCGACACCGAATAAATTCAAATATCTAATCCACTGATTACATCTCCCCCGACAATCGATTTCCACTCTATTTTACCAAAATCCAAAACCACAAATTTCATCCAAAATCAAGATATCCCAATTTCAAATTTCACAATCAACAAAAAATTCCATCGCCACATTTGTAACAAATCAACACTTAATTGCTTTTCTGCATACTAATACTAGTAATATGTCTTGCTGTTGTCAATAGAAACAAAAAATCCTTTGAAACATTCGTCTTTGATTGTACTCCCACAAATTAGTTCATTGGAGCGTGGGCCGATTTTTTCCTCCAATTTAATAAAGGAACTTCTTAGCAAAACATCTGCTAAAAATATTAAAATTCCCAACACTAGTTTCCTATGCAAAGATACAAGACCTCAGCATTTAGATCTAAAAGGAAGATTTATTCTATTTAACTATAGCCGAATTTTAAAATATTCTACCAAATTTTACTATTTATAAATCTGTATTCAAAAAATTGCAATAATATACGACCCACAGAGCGATCTATATTGATTAGTTAATAGAATTGCCTCTTTCTTCATAAAAAATATCCCTTATTTTGTGCTGGGATAGGCCGTGAATTAAAGTTTATCCCGAGTATAAAATAAAGCGGGGATTTATTGAAAAACGAGGCAATTCAATAGCGCTAATTTCAAAATATATCAGGTTACAACTTCAAACAAATCTTGTATAATTATTAAACCCAGGCGGTACTTTTCAAATGAGTACAAAGTTTTCTGAGCAGTTTTATACCGTAATTTAGCTACTGTACGATCGGATCAGCAATTAAATATTTGGCCATGTGATTAACCAGACCCTTACCTAGTTCGTTCGCTAGTTTCTTGAGCGAGTTCGCTTGAAGGTGCTCCCAAAGGTGGCCATCTTTCCCCAATAGGTTTTCTCGTAAAATTCCGCCCTTCCTCGCTCATCAATTCGGCCATACTATCTAAATAAGCAGTAACAGAAGCCATAGCGTGAGATCGAAGACAAAACTACGTTTAAAAACAAATCGATCGTAAAATAAAGACCTTTATTCTGCACTTCCTTGGCTGACCAAAGATCATATAAACTTTTGAAATTTACATTTTTGATTTTTAATTATTCACCCGATTCACATTTTCGATTCCGATTTTCAAGCCGCAAAAAAAGTCAGCACTGATCTCATAATGAAACCTGGATAGCGCAATTTTTAATCCAGTTATATCATAGGATCAGTGCAAATGTCTGTTTGTCTGTTCGTCAAATAAAAATTTGTTATCATGTAGCGCTTTGAATCTTTGTTGTAGAATTTTCGTTTTTTAGCTGCAGCAAAAATGGAAGAGGACGAGAATTTATGTAAAGTAGAAACGCGAGATGGGGATTTGTATTTGTTTACTCAATGGCTAGGGAAAGAACGGGCTGGATTTGACATTACTATCACTGATGGCTATAAAATATGGAAAGCACAAGGTAGTGCCGTCGTTTGCGTCTAATAATGAACAGTCGTAAATTGAAACATTTTACTTGGCATGCACATATGAAACTTTACAGTATGTAAAACTCCCACTGACTGGCAGAGCAACTGAAACCTGCAAATGCACATTACATTAAGCCTTCGATATTTATAAAAGCAAGCAAATTAAATATATATTGTAGCAAGATTGCTACGTATGTATAGGTCGATTGCATGTTTACGCACACTCTGAGCAC